GTTTGTTTAACGCTGTGTGTCTATGTATCCTATTTTGATGAAGTGGTGTATTATTGGTTCAGGTCCTATATTTAAGATTAGATTTGCTGTGACTGCATTTAAATAATCTGCTACAGAGTATTCAGGGTCTGTAACTGTAAATTTCATTAATAACTTGTTTGATGTTATTGACGATCCACCAGTTAGGTATAGATTCATAGTCAATTGAAGTGATTCTGCGGCATTTGGCATTTGTGAAGAGTTTTTAAGTTGACTCTTTGTGATTTCAAGTTGTTGTAAGTAATAGGATAGCGGGATTTCATTTTGCATTTGCGTTGGTTGATAATAGTCTGTATTAACTGGGTTTTGTGAGTAAAATTTTTTATTTTGAGATGCTGGATTTGGTCTAGTATGTCGCATATGTTGTTCTTGTGTATATGGTTCAAAAGTATCTGGTTGATTTACGTGACAAGAGTAGAGTCTTTGGTTTTGAAAAATTGTTGATGATTTTGGTTATAATAATCTACATCATCTGATGAAAGATAATTAGATGTGTAATAAGGTGTTTAATGTCAATTCTTGTTTTGCCGTCTATTATTTTTATTTTGCCGAAAAAATGGATAATTTTCCCTTTGGTCTTGTGAAACTCGTAGGTAACCATTAAAATTTACTGAGTTTGATGTTGGTGTTGGTTGTTGGAAATTTTGTCTTTGTGAAAATAGATGATTTTGCGAGTTTGCACGAGAGGGTTTAGTTGTTTGTGGTCTATTTACATAGTTATAATTAAGTTCTGCAAAATTATTTCTATTGAATGTTCTTTGTTTTTGCGTTGGTTTCGTCATTAATCTAAACGTTTGGTAATTCATTTGTGAAATTTTTGGAACAACGGAGGGTTCAACCGTAGATTGTAATGTTACCTGTGGTAATGTTGGATTTTTGGGTCTTGGAATTGTAAGTATTGGATGTATTGGTGAAATACTTTGTTGTGTTGTTGTTGTTACTGTTTCAACTACTTCTTCATTTGTAAAATGTAATGGTGTCTGAACATCTTGTTGTGTAAGATTTCTATTTCCATTTAAGTTTTCTTGTTGTATGATGGTTGAGTTTAAGCTATTTTTTCCTATTCCATCGGGTAGAAAAGAATTATAGTTTGAAGTTGTTGCGTCAATTGTGAGTGGATATATTTTCACATAACCTTTGTTAATAGAAATTTTGCTGATTGCTTGACTTGAAATATCAGTTGTTGTGTTCAGGAATACTGGATGAGACCATTCGGGGTCCCAAACATAATCTGATTGTTGTGCTAAGACAGTTTCATTAGTTGAATTTGAAGTCTAAAATTTTTTTTCTTGCTTGTGAGATAAGATCAAAATTGTGTGTGAAATAATCAATGATAAACTATGCAAAGATTTTTTGTAAATCGTGTTTAACATTTTGCGAAACTTCTTTCCTGGTTAAATTTTCACGGATTGTGTTTAAGAATTCGGAGAATATTGCAATATCATGTCTTACAGCTGTGTGTCTTGATGATTGAACTGGTGAAGTTCCATGACATGCTGCTTTTTCCAGTATAGATAGATAACTGTAAATTATTTTGAATACATCGTTAGTGAAATTTGAAAACTTAAAATATTCATCGTTAGTGAATATATGTAAACTTAAAATTAATGAAATTCCATTTAATTTAGATAAAAGTGAATGAAAGATCCAAGGAAAGCCTTGATGATCTGTTAAGTTTAAAAAAGTTTAATTTAAATGAAAATAAGAATTAAGATTAGTCCCAAACATAATCTGATTGTTCTGCTAAGACAGTTTCATTAGTTGAATTTTGAAGTCTAAATTTTTTCCTTGCTTGTGAGATTAGATCAATGTTGTGTGTGAAATAATCAATGATAAACTATGCAAAGATTTTTTGTAAATCGTGTTTAACATTTGGCGAAACTTCTTTACTGGTTAAATTTTCACGGATTGTGTTTAAAAATTCGGAGAATATTGCAATTTCATGTCTTACAGCTGTGTCTTGATGCTTGAACTGGTGAAGTTCTATGAGATGCTGCTTTTTCCACTATAGATAGATAACTGTAAATTATTTTAAATACATCGTTAGTGAATATTGAATTCGCTCTTTGTGAGTTTTGATGTGGTATTTTTTTTATGTATGCTGTGAATACTTTTGAAAATTCTATATCTACGTCGTCTAGTAGATATCTACCATGAAATTTACTTGGTGAATTGATTTCTATGTTCTAAACTCCGTGTTGTTGTGTTATGTTACATATTCTTTTTAAGTTTACATATAGTGATCAATAATTTGTCTTTTGATTTTTACTTTTGGAAATTCTGTTGTACATGGACTATTTCCTTTTTCGAATAAACATGCGATTAAATTTTGACAAAATTGTGTTTGTCCTCTATCATCAGTGAGTGACTTGATTAAAAATGGAAGGATGGAGTTTTCGTCTCCGATTTCTTTTTTTTTTACTCATTTTTGTGTTTTATGACTGTTAATTTGTAGTTTTCAATGTGTTTTATTGATTGATTCTAATTGTATAGGCGTTTTGGTTGGTTTTTGTATGTCTTTTTTTTTCTTCATTTTCCTTGTAATGATGATTGTGATGTGGTTTCTGAGTCAGAAAAATGTAATGTATCATTAACTTGATGATTTTTGTTTATGGAGTCGATAAAGTTCTTCTAAATTACTGGTTTCTGATTCGGAGACTGCGTTTCTTCGCTTTGAAATTTTTTTTCGTGTTATCTGTCCTATCGATTCCTGAGAATGATTGTTATTTTCTCGTGGCTAGTCTAAGTTAAGGGGTTATCTTACTTAATCATATTTAGGGGTAGTGATTGTGTTCAAGGGTTGGAGAATAGTAAATCGATCCACAAGGTTCAGGTATAATTAGAACACAAGTAGTTCGTTAGATACTATTTTAAACTTTCTAGGTTTAAGTATTATCCTGGGTCAGGTAAGAGGGGGGGGGGGGGGGGGTCAAGTGAAGGATGAATAACCGAAGTTCTTCACTGTTTATCCTAATTAGAATGGTTAGTGTGATTGAAAAACTTCTATTAGTCCTGGGTCTTGAGAAAGGGTTGGATAGTGAATCGACGTTTGAGGTCATTAGACACTTTATTAATTGTGAGGTGGAGAACAAAATTGTTCTATTTGATCCAAGGTTAAGCCTTGATGATCAGGATATAATATTAATGAAATTCAATTTAACTTAGATAAAAGTGAATGAAAGATCCAAGGAAAGCCTTGATGATCTGTTAAGTTTAAAAAGGTTTAATTTAAATGAAAATAAGAATTAAGATAGGCCTTTATAGTTTAAGTTAAGATGTAATTGATAGAAAATTTTTATTTTATTGGTTTTTGATTCGCTGTTATGTTTTAGGTGATGAAGCTGAGATGAAGAGAATATTTATATAAACTAAAAATTTGTGTGTTTACTAACTAATGTTTATAATTTTATTTTCAATAACTAGTTTTTCCAGATATCTTTTAAATTTATTGCAGATTTTTGAAGAGAACGACCAGAGATGTTTTTATCAGTCGTTATTGTACAAACATAAATTTAGCGCCTGTAATTGTCTTTGAAGATTATTCTTCAAAGATGCTATTTTTGCAAATGAAAATCTAAATTCATTGCTAATAAAAGTCTAATTATAAAAAATTGTGTTGGCTTTTGCCGTACGATCATGAAACTTAATGGTAAGTTCCTTTGTAGTCGTATATCGTCTCTTGTCCGAGGTCTTTTCCCAATACCGGATAGTTCTCGTATTGTTTGGAATATTGGCTTTGATCTATTGAGTCGTAGAGACCTTTCAATTAAATTGTTGTCATGTAACATTTTTGGAAATCTTTTTTGTCTAAGTCTAATCTATTTGGTTAGTTCTTAGCTAATTTGTTTTTCAAAGTCTTGTTCGAGACTTTTGTTCAAACCAGATGACTTGTGATGGATTGTCTAACTCAAAGAGTAATTTCAGATAGGGTACACCGTCTGCTCGTCACGCTATCTTATTTTCGGCCGGATAGATTCGTGCAGCTTCTTAATCTAATACCGATCTTAATCTTACTCTTATATCTCTTAGTCTCAAAAGATCTAGAGTATACTGGTTTTGTTACGAGTCGGTCTCTTGGAGAAAGCAACGAAGTTGTAAGTTAAATTCAAATTTCTCTGGTGCTGAAATTACAAGTAATTTCAGTACTTACAAATATGTGGGTTGTTAGTTTGATGGAGTATGATTGGTTAGTATTTAATATTTTATAGTGATGAAATATCTAAATTATAACCAATAATAAATTATAGTTTGGATCTGGTTCCAGTATTGGCGCCAAAGGCACTTTTAGAAATTTTTTAGGATTCGTCAGCCAAAACTGGATATCTCAAAATAGTACAAATGGGGGAGCCTTTGGGTCGGCAGGGGATCAAATTCCTGAGGAAGGAGCATCCGCCCCTCTTAAATCCGCCCCTGGCGTCAGTTCAAGCTGCTGTTTAAAGATCGATTTTTGAGTATAAAAGACTCTTATAATTGTGATTTCTGCGTTTCGCAGATGACCTATGAGAGGCTATCCAGCCTGTCTTAGCATATTATATTCCTCTATTTGGTCTTAATATTACGTTACGAGATAATCCTTCATGACTTGGTAAATAACTTAATGTTAGGGGGAAGTTTATCAGAATAAAAATCACAAACATATATAAACATTTTGTTTCTTTTTTTGTAAATTTCATCTTTTTTCAAAGTAGATATCAAAAGACGTGCCTTCACAAGAAGAGAGTGGTGGTGAAATGGCTAAGTCTCCACTTTTCAAGTGGTTGGAGGTTCGAGGCCCACAGTGCTCCGTACTCATTGCTTCAGGTTGACACAACTTGACCTAGTCCATTTAAAAATAACAAAAAAAGCGTTTCTGTTAAGAGACGAACAGCTCGCATGGTGGTTAATTTGCTTAAAAGTAAACAAATCGTCCTTAAGTAAAATTGTAAACGGGAATAGTTTTAGCTTTTGTTGCACATTTTTAGGCTCCAAGCAGGAATTTGCATAAGGAAGGAATATGGGAGAAACGTTTCCAGACGGTCTTCTTTGGTGAAGTTCTTCCCATGTTTCCAGAAGCAGTGTTTATCGACATCGGAACCCAACTTGGAACTTACACGTAAGCACATAGTTTTTTTCAGTTCGTTGGAAGTATGTGATTTGACATGTTTTTGACACCAGGAGAACTTTTAATTGTCAAGGAAATTGACTAACAAACAGGATAAATAGAACAAAATAGATAAAATATTTTTCATTTTTTCCGTTTTTATACAAGAGGTACACAAAAAAAAAACAAATTCATTACCGCTCTTCAATGTATCTGATGTAATTTCTGGCAGAAACAATAGATAAAGTTTCCAGGAGAACTTTATTTTCTCAACCCCCATCCCGGCTGGGCCTCTCGCAATATCAAGTAACATATTATGATAGATAATGCGTCCATTGACACAATATTTGGATCAATTAGCTAGCCTAAAGTTGATTTACATTGATTTCAAAGTCGGATTAATTTTACCAAATAAGCCACTGACAACCTTCAACCCCCCTGAAGAAATAAATCTGAAGAAGCATCCTGATAGATTGGTTTTGAATAAAATCGGCCATTTTTTTGAGCAACTTCTTAGTCGAATTCTTATTGTTCGACTTTCGAAGAAAGTGTCGGAATATTTGTGCTCGGAGTGAAATTTTTTCTCTTATCTGAAGTTTCAAAACACAGTGCAGTGCATTCAAAACTTTATAGTCTCTTTTTAGCTTCTTGTTTATTAGAAAAAGGCAAGGGTGAGATTTACTCTAGGGGATGAATATGTGAATATGTTCGTTCGTCTTGCAGAACGCTGCAAAAGTTAAAGTAAACATATCCCCTCAAAAAAAAATAATTTTTGAAGAAAAATTAATCAGTTATTATTGAGGCAAAAAAGAAAATAATCAATTATAATAGACTATAAGGGACTTAAGACCAAAAAGAAACAATTCAAATCCCCTGAAAATCTCTTCTCATGGTTGAATGGGTCATGAAAATTGATTATATTATAGTGGGTTTTTAACCAGTATAATCCAATAAAATCAATTATTTCCCATAAAACTCTTTTGCGGGAGTTTAGTCAATAATTAATATCAATAGACATAAGAAAAATCATAAGTCTGTTCAGATAATTTTTTATGCTAGTCGATAAAATTTTTAACTTTAAATTTTTATGCCGGCCGAAATTTTTGCTAGTGGTATCGTGGTATCATATTTAACACGATTTGGATTTAAAAAGAAAATAATTTCTCTCACCCAGCGCGAGAAAAACGGGCGTGTGTTTTTAGAAAAAATATCTGGCTTGACTTTAGAGTTAAATTTTTGTTTTCCGCATTTTGAACAATAAACCCTCAGTGGTGAATATTTTAGCAAATAATAAGATCTAAATAATTTAGAGAAAAATAAAAAAAATTGTCTTTTTGGCTTTAACTTTGTCCTCATAATTGTGACCAGAATAATTTGAGCTACCTGATATCCTTGAATTTAGTTGATTTAAACGGTTTTCAAAGATAATTTAAACATTACGAGGCCAAACTGTGCATTTGGTGGATTTGGATTGGATTTCTCAACAATGATGCTCAATTTTTTCTTTTTTCTCATCTCGTTTTCTTTGATTTAACTGCCAAATTTAGCATGTTTAAAGACTTGTCATCTAGATTCAAAGACATACACACTCACCAAATTGTGCGCCTGTTCAATGCATAGTTTGGCCTCGTAATGTAACTATCCTATTTTTTTTCGGAACATAGCTAACAAAAAACCCAATTGACTCAAAACATTTTCTATGCGTAATAGTTTTAATTTCATGAAATCAGACAGCAAAAAAATTGTCTCCTTCGATAAGCAATATTTTTGTGGGCTATCCGGGATTTTTTCTTATCTATCCGATTTTTGTTCAGCTATCCAAAATTGATTTGTTTTTACTCTCCGGGAACAAAGGATGTTTCAGCTATCCGGTACATAATCAAAAAAGGGCAAAAGTAAATACGTGTCATGAGATGGACACGGGAAGTAGGCGCAGTAAAAATGTTTAAGACTTCAATTTATTGGCAATTTTTATTCCAAAAAATTGCTTTTGTCGCGGAAAGTTTCGTGTCAAAATTTTGGTTTTTTAGTGTATCAATCCAACAAAAAAAAACAAAATTTTGAAAGATTTTTGAAAAGCAATCTTTTCTCCATCATCAATCTATTTTTTCGCGATTGTTTTTTTGGACTGGAGCGGATCAAGTTTTCTCTGGCTATCAGGAAACATAGAAACTTTCAACTAGCCTGGAAAAAAAATTCGGCCGTTAGGGAACGAACTTATTTTTCGGCTATCCGGGAACGAAAAAAAAAGTTTTTGGTTATCCTGGAACGAAGATGTTTTTGACTATCTGGATATTGGGCTCCGTGACATGCCACCGTCCTAAGCTCAAACTTTAAACGACTTTTCACTCGTGATTATTTTTCGTTATGAAGGTTTAAAGATTGTCAATTTGGCCAAATCGGGATCATAAACGTACGATCTGTTCCGTGCTATTAAAGCGTAAGCGGCAAAATAACCCGAAATCGACAGATTAATTCTTGTATTTATCTTAGTAAATGACAAATTAATAAACAGAATCGTTTCAAATTGAATTGAGGTGTGCTATTTAAACTATTCAATTTTCTGCTTTATTCTAAATATATAACTTCTACTTAAAATAATGGTGTGATGATTTTTAAAAGTCTGAAAAAAAGGTATTTTTCATTTTTTTTCAGAGAAAAATATTAATTTTTTATAGAGAAAGCTACTCCATAGGACTTGAAATGCAGTCAAATTTTTTGCTGTGATACGAGCAGTTTTGTTTTACTTTCGATTTTCTTGGGTTATAAAGACTGTAACAAACACTGGTTAAAAGCAGGTTAAATTGAATTCAATTACTTTTGAATAGGTCAACGAAACAAGCAATTGACTAAGGTAATCAATGTACAAAATAAATTGAGATTTTGTTAATGGAACGCCTGGTTAGTTTTGAACGCTTCACAATGTAAAATTTTTACCTCATTAGACAAAAGCGGGAAACTAAATAAAAAGAATGCTTACTAAATTATTTTTAATCAGTGCGGAGCTTGGGTCTTTTTACTTAATCCGCCCATTTTTCTCTAAATTTTGCATGTTGCAATATTCAATTTACAAATGCTGAGAACAAAAGACTGATAGCCTTGGTTGATTTGGTTTATATGTATGCAATCACTTTTTTCTTACGCCGACTTCTAACAAGACCGAATTTTGAGCAGATACAAAGGAGTTATTTTTGCTCTAGATCTGTTTCGGTTTTTTTTTTAAATCTGGGCAAAACTTTGGAGCGTTTTTGAAATAATTTTAGCTGGCTTAACAAACATTCTTTGTTTTAGGGCAATTCGTTTTATTAATACTTCGACTTAAGTTTGCGAGCAAACATTTTGTGATGATGCTGAAGTTTGATTGGCTAATACTAGCCATGCAAAATGAGCCAAAATAGTTTCAGTTCAAGATGTTACAATATTGGTCTTTGCGCGGAATCAGTAAAAAGACCAATGAATTGATGTAAAAAACTCGGTAAAATTAGAGTTTGGCTAGTTCGTTAGGTTTTTTTGAAAACTTTTTTTAGTACAGTTCTATATCAAGTCAATAAAGAGGCAGGAGTAAAAATTGTAGTCTCCAATGCTGCTTTTTCTTATTTGGGTATAGTTAGTGAAAAAAAAATAAAAGTGAAACTTGATGTAGCATTTTTGTTTGAAATTTTTCGCGTGTTGCGGGTTGGAGTTTGAAGAAATCAATGAAGACATCAGTTTCCTCTCTATTTAATGCGAAAAGCTATTTTCTCAATAATTTGTTATCGAAATATTTTTTTGATAATAATGATTCATTTTGAGTTTGTTTCCACAAATTAATTTCTGTTTGATCGATTGAGATGTTTTGAGACTTCAAAAATCAATTTTTTAATTTTTTAAGTCGCGTTTAGTTTTTTAGGGTTTGTCGGTCGTACCCCAAAAATATATCCGAAAATAATTGCTCAAATAGTAGTTACAGATCAAAAAACTCCGACTTTTGCCGCAATCAATTACTATGCAACGTTTTTAGATCTTTTAAATCTGTCTAAAAAGCAGTCTGACTTGTTAAACTGATGTACAATTTTCAAGCTAGATGAGAGATTTTTCCACAGGTGATTCACAGGTGATTCATTTTTTTTCATTGTGATTTTAGGTCACATTGTTTTTCAGACTATATAAAACGGTAGCAGGACAATCTACCTTATTCCAATCTACCCTATGCCGTTTTAGCCTATAGCATTTTATCTTATATACCAATTTAACCTACGCTGATTTACCCTATGCCAAATTACCCCTCAATAAAGTTTTATCTTCTATCACACTAGGTGTTAAGGACAACATGTATGGAAGTGTTAATTCATTTGAGTTCTACCATTTAGACTCAAAACTGGTCTCGAAATATAAACCGAACACTTTGTTGACTCGGCTAAAGCCGCCGAACAACGTCGTGTGGCTTTATCGTGCGATAGTACTGCGTTTGATTTGAGACTTTCAGGAACGAAACGCGACTCAAAAAACTCGACATGGCTATAAGTTTTTGGTCACCCCATCTACCTCGCGCGGCCGCATTCGGTCGCATCTTAAGCCGCAGGCCTCGACCCGAGTACTCGGCTTATTCACAAAGCAATGATAAAACTATTGATTCTCTGTGCTTTATAGGAACCAAAGTACTCAAATATAGGAACCAAAAAAAAATGGAAAAAAGTTAAACGCCATTATTTTCCAATTTATATTTTCTAAATGTACTTTGGACCATTCAGAATGCTCATCATAACTTTTATTAGATGTTCAGGTGAATAAAATTGATTTTCTCATGTCGAATTTGATTCCTACTTTTCCAGAATACCAGTTGCTGCTCTCGGAAAAACAACCTACAGTTTCGAGCCAGTGCGTCGAACAGTTGAATTTCTTCGACACTCGATTGCACTGAATAACTTCAACGACAGAATCCACCTCTACAACTACGCTTTGATGGATTCAATTTACTGTGTTCAAATTACAAGACCTGTCTCAAATCCATATCTGGGTCGATCAATCATGACCAAAACCGATGACTGCAATCAGAAATTAGTAAGAATGAATTCTTTTTGCAAAAACTGCTTTATTACCCAGTGAGGAGAGAGGTGAATATATAAGGGACCAGCCTATTTACTGCGAGTCGATTAGCATGTCCATTTACAAGAATAGACAAAAATCAAATTTTAATTTTCGTAACAAAACAAGTGGTTTCCAAGATTATTTGAATAATTTTTTTGGTTGAATGCACACCTAACTAAATCAATTATCGCATGCTTATAGGCACACATGCTAATCGCTACCCACCCAAATAATTAAAGTACTCGGCGATTGATCTTTAAATTTGCAAAATTAAGTTGGCTGTAAATAAGATAAAGTTCAAAATGCAGTAGAGTTAGATAGGAATGTCAGTCTACGTCGTGTAAGTTTTTTCTGTTTGGCCCAAAAACTAATGTTTTTGCTAATTTGAAAGTTTGATCATTGTGCTCGAATCTGGTTGCAAAAAAATCAGCAAAAAATTAGGTTTTTCAATGAAAACAGAAACCTAATAAATTGAACAACTTGATATTTTTTGGGCCTTATCACCGAATAGAATAGTAAAAAGTAGTCAAAAACAAAAAAAAATAGGAAAAACAGACAACTTTACTTTCACAGTGAGACTTTTTTCGTTTTTTTTTATAGAATCTGAATCACAATCAACAGGGCTTAAATAAAACCCATTAGGGACCTCGTACGAGTTTTATCGAAGTTCCCAAAATTGGGTGGAAAAAGGCAACATTACGCTATATTTGTTGCCCAACTATTTTTGAAGGTGATGGCTGGGAGAAAATTTTTTGTTGTTAATTCGTTTTTTTTATACTAATTTAAACGTAGTAGAGTAATTTTCTAGAAATTAGTGAGCCACATGAACCCCTAATAAACTCAAAGAAAACACAAATTAAAATTAATCCATTTTTGAGCAAACGGCACAACCAAGAAAATAAAAGAAAGAACATGTGATAAAATGAAACAGAAGTTTATACAGAAATAAAGACTCTTCTCAAAGAAACATCCAAAATTACCTCTCGTCTAGCCTCTACCAGCTAGAGCTTGGGACCCCGACCCCGATACAATTTTTACCAACAGTACTTCTAGTGCGAGGAGCTGTTTAAAAATAACCGAACTAATAGTAACGTTTTTGCGAAAACCACTTACATAGGATCATCACCGAAATTGAAAATAATAAAAGGTGCAGGCATACATAATCTGAAAGGTTCAAAAAAACGAGCAAAGTAACGAACAGCAAAAGGTAGATAAAAACTCGACAAAATTCCGAATCTGGAATGACAAATCTATTGGTTTTATTTGCCGCAGTCACAACCTCCGCAAGTTATTAAGTACAGAGCCAATATCGCAGCAAAGGTATCCATTGAACAAGAACGATGGCCGACTCGATACTGAAATCAGAAATATGGATCCTAGTCACTTGAAGATTTACTCAGATAAGTCAAACCCTATCTCGCCATTTGATAAATAGTTGAGAATGCACGCAGTCTCGCTCTAAATAACGAAATCGACACATTACTATATCTTCAACCTTGATACGATCCTTCAACTCGCCATAGTGTTAGCAAATCTCTACTTTATTCACGAAAACAATTTTTTCACAAGACCGAGCAACTGCTACTCTTCTCTCTACGATTTTAAAAAAAAAATCTACTGAAAGAAGAAATTAGATTTCAATTCATCCATCCTTCACTCGAAATAACTTATAGCTTAAAAAGTTTCTAAGCCCCGGATGGATGGTACCAGTTCAAAACAAATATTTGATCTAACCAACAATTTTCTCAGTAACGATCACTGTGAAATACTTAGAAATAACAAATCATGATCCATGATCAAAACTTACAATAAATTTTAAGGCTGAAACTATTTATAGTTTCAGCCAGAGCAGATTAAATTTAAGTTAGCAAACAGTTGCTCTTCCTCTCCTCTAACCTTGCAACAATACTAGTATATACTAGATCTATGGAGATTAGGAAATATAAGAGTAAGATTAAGATCGGTTTTAGACTAAGAAGTTGCACGAATCTATCCGGCCGAGAATAAGATAGCGTGACGAACAGACGGTGTACTTTATCCAAAATTACTGTTTGAGAAAGGGCACCCCGGACTTACACTCAATTCCTGTATAACTCTTCTGCCTTTTCAACCTTATTTTATTTACATCCACTTACCCTGTTTTTGCCGTTTGTTCTAAGGTTGTATTTATCTACTGTTTGTACTGTATTTATCTATAATGTTTTCAAATTTGTGGTCAATTAGCATTAAGTTTGGCTTTAAAACAAAATTTAAAATTGAAAATAGTTTCGACTAGCATAAAAAGCAAAACCTTAAATTCAACCACACTCATAATCAAAGTTAATATTCAGAAAAGAAATCATAATTATTATAAATTAGTTTTTTTCCTACATTTCACAATTTTCGAGGCAATCCTAAAACTCTTTGTTTTTGCGATTTGCAGAAGATTTTTAAATGCGAATCCAACCTGACTCTCCATTTCCAAGAAAAGTCCATTTCTATTATCTCCCCACCTTCCGGACTCAGGACATTCAGGTTGTTAAGCGAAAGTCTTTTTTTTGCGACTCAAGGCCGTTTCTTTTGCATCTAGAGCTTTCTCGTGTTGCCACTCTTGCAGCAAAAATTGGTCAAGCTGTGGTAGAGCTGAAGCTAGAGGTCAAGTGAGAGCTCGTCCTTGCACACTACCAATGCCATTAGAGGGATCTAATACACGCACTGACATTCTAACTTGAAAGCGATACCATACCACTATGCTACGTGCCTCAATCAGTGTTTAGTCCAACCCAATACAGGTGGGGTTGTGGCTGATTTCTAAGCTTCTGAGCTGAATGACATTGCCTCAACTGTGGGTTAAAAACAACTGCACTGTAATTTTACACAATTTCAGAGAAGAAATTTAGTCGCAGTTCCTACTTTTATACTTTGGACGATAGAAATTCTAGAATCATTTTCTAGTCCTCAACTGCATTGAATTATTGTTTTCTTTGAAACAAAAGTTAACTTGACATTTTTAAATCAAATTAAATCAGCCTTAATTTCCCAATCTTAGGTTATTGCACGCAAATACTTGTAGTTTCATTTTCGAGTCCTAAACTTCACACGTGGCCTGGAGGTTGAACAGCTAAACTGAAGTCCGCTTCGGCCTTCTCACCACCGTGAATCCGCTACATATTTATCATCATTTGCAAATTTCAATTTTTTTGGACTATATTTTTAGTACATTCACGTGTGTTAAAAGAGTCGAGGCCCTAAAAAAGCTTCCGCGTTTCCGGGGTGTCGTTTCCTTTAAACACGCTTTCACTCTACTTAACGCTACAGAGTTTTTCTCCTCTTTTTAGCGGGGGGACACTAAGAAATGGTTTTATTCACAATCCTTTAAGAGTTATGTTGGTGGTCACACTAAATCGGCCGATCAAAGGATTACGCAACTTTTTTCGACGCTACTCTTGCGTTTATAGCTAGTTCAGCAAATCGTGGGTATAATAAGTGAATTCGCAATCACAAAGAAAATAAAAGCTATTCACAATGCCCTAAATGAGCTAATTAATAACTTCTATAACGAAGCCCGCATTTCGTTCGTTCAATTGCTTCGTTATCTCTATGGAAAACCCTCGGTTGACGCATTTCCCAAATCGCCTACTACAGCAGCGCAACTCGCTCACAAAAATAATTCAGCCCGTTACTAAACTTGGGTTCAAGCGCAACTCGCTCCCACAAATAGTCCAACCCGGTACTAAACTTGATCCAAGCAAGCAATTTGACCAAGCAAACAAGTGACATACGATTCTAATCAACTAATTCCTGACCTCGTAAACTTCAGCCCTCGAGTTCAACTCAACCTCCAAACCAAGCTATGTTTTCTCAGTGACCCTCCCAAGACCTTTATTTTAATTATCCCGTTAACGTTCCGACTTCCCAAAGATAGGGGGAAATACTTATCATGGGTCGCTAAATCAATTCAGGCATTTAAAATTCCTATCAGCACTCTATTCCAATCTTGACCTTCTAGCTATCAGGGGGACGTATATGGCCTATTAAGGGTCAAATTAACCAAAAAATTCCCCGTCCGTTCATATTTTTTAGAAGACTGAATTCTCATGCCGCGGTCCCGTTACAATCATTTTCCTCTGGGACAACTTTTCTTTAGTCTAATTGAATTGCTATTAACAGATCATTTGCCAAAGTGAACTGAACACAATGTTTACCAATTCGACTTCGAATTACTTCTACTACTCCAAGGTTGCAATGTGAAAACTAGATGGCTATCAGCTTCTGCTTCAATTTTCAATAGATAAGTTTCCTCCCAATTATTAGCAAGGTGACTGGTTCATTTTTCCAAAGGGTTTGGACTGAGGAACACGCCACCTACCTGTATTAACCTTGGGGTTTTCTATGCAATTTTGGGATCAAAACCTTAAAGGTCAACTTAAGGTCACCCGGGGTCATCCGAGGTAAAACTTCGACATTTGGGTTTAAAACCTCATGGAGGTCCTAACTACCAAATTCCATTCATGTCCCATTAATACTTCACAAGTTATCCCATTTCTAAGGTCCATTTTCACTTTTACTGGAAAAAAGCTATTAACACCGGAGGCAGCCGCCGGAGAAGTTTCAATCACAAGGAGCTCTTTTTTTCGGGGTTGGTATTTCATGTCTTTTGCCGCAAGAAAATCATTATGCGACCTCTCATTATTTTGCGTAAATTGCCTATTTCCGGTCTAAGGGGGTGTTTTTTCAAGTGCTAATAGCTTCCAATCAAACCGTTGGAAACTGTTCAAACTTTAAATGTGTGTTTTACCACTACCTATCATCTCACCAAGTTCATTGGAGGCCGGGAAACGTTTTCCGGATGTTAAGGGTGGGTTTGTTTACTTAGGGCATAAAACCGGAAGTGGGGCCCTAGGGGTCTGGGGTTTCGAATTTAAGCTTCCCTTAACTAGGCATACAACATTTTAAAATTTGAGCCCAATACCGCTGCTAGTATCCGAGTTCTGATAGGGCCATTTACACTTCCGGGGACCGTTATCACTTGCCCTCAAGGGTCTGAGGGGTCCCGTTTTTTTTCTGCTCGGGTCAAATCATCTCTGGTACCGCTATTCTGAGTTTCATAACTCTAGCTTTCTTAGTTCCCATTTGGGGGGGGGGGGGGTTCGCCGACTTTGTCAAATTTCATTATCTGGCATAGGAGTGACGAATTTTACCACACTAGAACTATTTTTAACTCGACCCATTGTTTGCTGTACTACTTAACTTAAATACTATTCAATCTTACGCTCAGCTTACTATTAGCCTTACCATACTGCGTGCAAGTCTCATTGTAATACTTTCTACGTTCAGTTCTTATTTTGCCGAAATCGTATTAGGATCACCGATCCTACAACGTCCATTTTCGGCGGAATAGCCCTAAAATTTTTAAAAGAAGCCTTGGCGATAATACATACTAATTTTTACAAAGAATGCACGCTGAAAACGCAATTTTTCTGTCATAGCCTTCCCAAAAAGTGCCTAAAAAGACAAAATTATCAAAATGTTTTTCAAAAGTTTTCACAAGAGCTGAGAAAATCATTTTGATCAATTTAAAAAATTGAAAATTTTCGGGATTTTTTTTTGAAAATCTTCAATCTGCCACCCCCTCCCAGTCCTTCCTCCCTCTTCGAAAAAATATTGAATCCATGCCTGATTATGTCTCCACTTAACTACAATTTTTTTTCAATTGTAGTTGGGTTTGAATCTCTATGGAAAACCCTCGGTTGACGCATTTCCCAAATCGCCTACTACAGCAGCGCAACTCGCTCACAAAAATAATTCAGCCCGTTACTAAACTTGGGTTCAAGCGCAACTCGCTCCCACAAATAGTCCAACCCGGTACTAAACTTGATCCAAGCAAGCAATTTGACCAAGCAAACAAGTGACATACGATTCTAATCAACTAATTCCTGACCTCGTAAACTTCAGCCCTCGAGTTCAACTCAACCTCCAAACCAAGCTATGTTTTCTCAGTGACCCTCCCAAGACCTTTATTTTAATTATCCCGTTAACGTTCCGACTTCCCAAAGATAGGGGGAAATACTTATCATGGGTCGCTAAATCAATTCAGGCATTTAAAATTTCTATCAGTACTCTATTCCAATCTTGACCTTCTAGCTATCAGGGGGACGTATATGGCCTATTAAGGGTCAAATTAACCAAAAAATTCCCCGTCCGTTCATATTTTTTAGAAGACTGAATTCTCATGCCGCGGTCCCGTTACAATCATTTTCCTCTGGGACAACTTTTCTTTAGTCTAATTGAATTGCTATTAACAGATCATTTGCCAAAGTGAACTGAACACAATGTTTACCAATTCGACTTCGAATTACTTCTACTACTCCAAGGTTGCAATGTGAAAACTAGATGGCTATCAGCTTCTGCTTCAATTTTCAATAGATAAGTTTCCTCCCAATTATTAGCAAGGTGACTGGTTCATTTTTCCAAAGGGTTTGGACTGAGGAACACGCCACCTACCTGTATTAACCTTGGGGTTTTCTATGCAATTTTGGGATCAAAACCTTAAAGGTCAACTTAAGGTCACCCGGGGTCATCCGAGGTAAAACTTCGACATTTGGGTTTAAAACCTCATGGAGGTCCTAACTACCAAATTCCATTCATGTCCCATTAATACTTCACAAGTTATCCCATTTCTAAGGTCCATTTTCACTTTTACTGGAAAAAAGCTATTAACACCGGAGGCAGCCGCCGGAGAAGTTTCAATCACAAGGAGCTCTTTTTTTCGGGGTTGGTATTTCATGTCTTTTGCCGCAAGAAAATCATTATGCGACCTCTCATTATTTTGCGTAAATTGCCTATTTCCGGTCTAAGGGGGTGTTTTTTCAAGTGCTAATAGCTTCCAATCAAACCGTTGGAAACTGTTCAAACTTTAAATGTGTGTTTTACCACTACCTATCATCTCACCAAGTTCATTGGAGGCCGGGAAACGTTTTCCGGATGTTAAGGGTGGGTTTGTTTACTTAGGGCATAAAACCGGAAGTGGGGCCCTAGGGGTCTGGGGTTTCGAATTTAAGCTTCCCTTAACTAGGCATACAACATTTTAAAATTTGAGCCCAATACCGCTGCTAGTATCCGAGTTCTGATAGGGCCATTTACACTTCCGGGGACCGTTATCACTTGCCCTCAAGGGTCTGAGGGGTCCCGTTTTTTTTCTGCTCGGGTCAAATCATCTCTGGTACCGCTATTCTGAGTTTCATAACTCTAGCTTTCTTAGTTCCCATTTGGGGGGGGGGGGGGGGGGTTCGCCGACTTTGTCAAATTTCATTATCTGGCATAGGAGTGACGAATTTTACCACACTAGAACTATTTTTAACTCGACCCATTGTTTGCTGTACTACTTAACTTAAATACTATTCAATCTTACGCTCAGCTTACTATTAGCCTTACCATACTGCGTGCAAGTCTCATTGTAATACTTTCTACGTTCAGTTCTTATTTTGCCGAAATCGTATTAGGATCACCGATCCTACAACGTCCATTTTCGGCGGAATAGCCCTAAAATTTTTAAAAGAAGCCTTGGCGATAATACATACTAATTTTTACAAAGAATGCACGCTGAAAACGCAATTTTTCTGTCATAGCCTTCCCAAAAAGTGCCTAAAAAGACAAAATTATCAAAATGTTTTTCAAAAGTTTTCACAAGAGCTGAGAAAATCATTTTGATCAATTTAAAAAATTGAAAATTTTCGGGATTTTTTTTTGAAAATCTTCAATCTGCCACCCCCTCCCAGTCCTTCCTCCCTCTTCGAAAAAATATTGAATCCATGCCTGATTATGTCTCCACTTAACTACAATTTTTTTTCAATTTAACTCGAAAGTTGAATAAAAAGCTATTTATCAATTTTTATTTAGGATGGGGTTAATGTAGCAGTTTTGGACAACTTACTTCCAATTCTCAAGAAGGACAATGTCAAGCAGGCAATACTGAAAATAGACATAGAAGGCTCCGAAGCTAAAGCGATTCTTGGAGGTCTGAAACTTTTCAGAGAAATCGACATTGCCGTCATCCAGATGGAGTTCCACGTTATTCAGTAAGATTTGCTTATTAAAAGGTTTATGTTCCGAGCTTGCCACTGAAAGAGACCGGTAGAAAGTATGGATTTTTAAACCCAATTTCGACTACCTCATAGAAATCTCACAGGGGGTCAAACGATGGTTCAAATTGAAGCTATTGGCTGTTTTTCAGACTAAATTATACCAAGTTTACCAACAACACTAAACAGCAGAATTTCTTAGCGAATTTGTTAAAAAGATTCAAAAAACGATTTTCATGTTTTGGATTTTCGAAACTTTACACTTGCGTTGTTAGCGTCGGAATATTCTATGCTAGCTGCACAGGAACCGGCTTTTCCTGTTTTTTAAGGAATATTAACAAAAAGGTCGTATGTATGGTATTTTCTGGTTGTGTATAAACCGACCCAATTAAAAACCAGATACTTTATAAACCACCCGAATAACCCGAGCAGTACGAAAATGAATCAAAACTAGAAAGTTAAAAAAAATGATTAATAGAATTCGCCAAGTTGTTAATAGTGTATAAAAACGTATGTTAGAATTTTCTACATTTTCATAGCCCCCCCCCTCCCCTCGAGAAATTCCTACATCCGCGCCTGAACCTAGATATAGCAGATGCTTATTGTTTCGGCCATTGAAAATGACAAAAAAAATGTATTCGGGTGTGTTTTAGCTTCTTTGCTTTTGGTTGTTCGGTTGTTCACGCAAAATCGGGTACCACAAATAATCATTGGACTGGGTTGAGTGGGATATCATATTAAAAAGCATTTAGTCATGATTGGAACGGCATTATAATTTTATTAAAACAATTTCCTAACAAAGAATGAACGTATTGGAATTTTTAGATTTTGCGGAAGATTAGAAATTCAGGGAAGATTGGCCATTTAGGCGGAAAAAATAATAATTTTTTCAAATGAAAACTAATTTTGAAAGCTTTATTTGGCACTTCCCTGGCAGGAAGTTTTCTCAAAAAACTTTAACAACAGTGCAAATTTTCTTAAAGGAATATGGTCAAAACATTGTGTGCTACTTGCACAGCTACCAGTTATCCTGGTTCTAGGTAGCGTTTTGAATAAAGACTAATCTAGGAAAACAATTTTAACAAATCTGAAAAAAATTGACTTCAATAGAAGACAAATGGTTCGAATTTGTTGAATTTTTTACTTTCCCGAAAATTGTTAAATTTTATAACCCACATTGACGTCAACGATTTATTTCAAATCTTTCAAATTCGCTCCAGCAAAAGTTTTTGTCAAGGGCTAATTCTAAATAATTGGCATTTCTGTCGCAATTGTCTGGATTTTAGTTGCAATAGTCTAAAAATTAGTCACAGTATAATTTGAACAAAAACCGTCATGGTCTAAGTAGTCAAGAAAAACCATACAATCTGATCAAGTTTTTTTTGTATTGAAAAACGTGTAGCTAAAATTTATAGCAAAACCTGTTGATTGGCTAGCATAAGTTGATTTAAAAAATTATATAAATTTTTAAAAAGATTTTTAAGAAAAATGCAATAGTCGGGAAAACTTTCACAAATTTTCAAACCATAGAAGAATGCTGAACCGACAATTTCCATACAAATCCATAAGTCAGAAATTTGCGTTTTTTCTATAAACCAAATATTCATTAGCTTATTTATTTTTGTTGGTTAGATAATTGTTTTTTGGCTGTGGTCGTAAGCAAGCACAAGGTGCAGACTACTTATTTTTGAGGACTTGATATCTCGAAGGAGCAATCTTCAATTTTCAAAAACGGGCAAAAATATCACATAATAATAAATGAATTTAATTGAAAAGCACCTTTTGTATTGAAAAACATGTAGCTAAAATGTATAGCAAAAAAACTGTTGGACGGCTTGCATAAATTGAGTTGAAAAATATATAGTTTGTTAAAATTGTAGTAAAAAAGTGCGAAAATCGAGGAAATTGCAACGGACAGGCTTAGTTTTTCTTCGCAGGCGCCGCGTGGACAATCTCGGCTCGCAAAATCTGGATATACCAAATATCGGTTGCTACCGTCTAAAAATTCCCAAATTTGATTGGGAGAGCTTGAAAAAACTTGGTCACATACGTCTAATAGTAAAAATACAACCTCGTCACGGGAAAGACAAACTTTGTTTATTTAACGATCCAGTAGAATGAGGAACGAAAGTTTACCAGATCAATTTTTTCACCAAAAGACTGAAAAAGATCAATAGTAACAGTCCAGTTGACAAAAAAAGCTATTCATAAATTTTCAAAAGATTGAAAAACGCTGAATCGACATCTTCCATACAAATCCATAAAAGGAGAAAATTGCACGAAAGATCCATGATTAATGTTATTTCATACATGAAGTACATTACTCGCATTTTTTAATAAATAAAATACTCATTTTGCTTGTTTTTTTTTTAGTTTTGTTTCTGGCTGTGGTCGTAAAGGAACACAAGTGGCAAAGAAGGGTAATCAGAATAGTGTAATATGCATTGTTATTGACCTGAATTTAGATACGTTTTACAAACAAATTCTATGAATTTAATTAATGAAACACTTTCTTGAAGAAAACTTTGAAATTAATCGTTCAATGCCCAGGGCAATTAAAAAAACACTGAAAATTTTTTAAAGGACCACAATATGCACCAAAAAACATCAAAATGCAAAAATGTTTGTACACGTCCTAAAAAAGTGCCGCCTGCCAAAAAACGGAGTCTTGTGTGATTAGAATTGTGTGATTAGCTTTTTTGGTCAATGCGGAATTAAACAGCCAGGACTGAATTATTGTCTGAGGAATTCAAAGACAAATGTTTCAATAATTTTGAACTTCAATCCTCGATATAATTTGTAGTAATACAACAAGCATCGAGTTTTCAAAAAGTTTTTTTAGCTTTGTAAGGTCTGGAGGCTAGCGTTCTCAAGCTTTGAGAACGTGAACGTTTGCATTTAACATCAACACTTTTGAACTTTTAAAAAAAGATTGATTGCAGTTATCACTATTGCGGGTCACAGTATTCTCATTATTGATGTGTCAGTGAGCATTTGAGATATCATTAAAGTAACTATAGTTTTTTTGCAGTTAATAGGATTACTTCAGGAATAACAATCCAAAAAAACTTCTAATTGGTGCAAATATATCGTTAATCTCAACGTAATAACCAAGTTCAGACCAATTGTACAATTTAAGCAACAATCAAAAAGCCAGACACACAAAAAGAGCTGAAATTTAAAAGGAGTACTACGTTAATTCATTTTATATTTTATGCATAGTATTTTATTCAAGTTTTGCTCAAGTTCTTTGCTCTTGTTCATTGGCTCAAATTGACTCAAACCTGTTAGCAATGGATACGGCGTTTAAAATGAAACTGCATGTTACTAAATTCTGGAAACGAAATCTGGTTTTCAATCAAAATGTGGGTTCTACAACAAAGCGCGAATCCCTCTTACAAATTTGGTTTCCACGACAAATTTAACCACTGCATATTAGGGCTGTAAATATATTTTTTTATTTCATTGGTAAAAATAAGTATGCTATATGAAGTTTTAGTTATATATCGACAAAAAATATAACTGGACAATTATTCATTCATATTTACAAGCAAAAAAATTGTCCGTTGAAATTGAATGTAACCAAGTTACTGTAACTGTGTAAAGTAAGCTGAATAAAATATATTTGAAATTAGCGCCTAAATCAAACTGAGATCAATTCAAGCTTTTAAAAAGAGCGTTGATTACAAAGAAAAATTCTGATTGATTTGGATCAATTTCAAATCGATCCAAATAAAACTGAAATCTAAGCCACAAAAGATTGATCCCAACTAATTTTAAATCGATTTCAATTGATTTTTTTAACATAAATTATTCTAACTTGAAGCACTCCTATACAAGTATGATAGTCGCTAAAATTTAGACTGGAGATCTGTTCTGTTACCCGGCACAAAACTTGTAAGTATACTACTTTCAAAACTTGATCATTTTGCGTGAATCTGATTGAATGATTGAAATCAAAATTAGAAGAACAGATTTAGTGACCCCAATTGAGTCCATAAAAAAAATCCATAGACCTTTAACTGCTCTAAAACAATTAAAAAGGAATCCATGCATATTTTCGAGCTCAATATCTGGATTTTATTGTGCATTTTTTTGATTTGTTGCATAGATTTTGCCCAAAATCTCATTTACAAAGCTGATTTTTTACAATTTTTTTGCATCTTTTTGAGCTCAAAATTTGATTTATTTCGACCATTTTCTTGAATTGTTGCTTAGGTTTTTACCCAAAATCTGACTGACAAAGATGATCTTCAATGATTTCATTGGGTATTTTGGAGCTTTAAATTGGAATTACGCGAACCATTTTCTTGATTTGTTACAGGGGTTTTTGCCTTTAATCTGATTTACATTGATAAATTTCTATGATTTTGTTGCTTAGTTTTGAGCTCGAAATCTGACTTCTTTAAACCATTTTGTTGATTTGTTATATTTGTTGCATATATTTGAGCTCAAAGTTTGACAAAATTTGATTGATTTCGACCATTTTTTAAGACTTTTGCCTATAACCTGCTTCAAAATAATGAGTTTCTATGATTTCATGGCATTTTTTGAGCTCAAAACTGATTTATGTGGAGCATTTTGTTATATTTTTCAGAAATTTTTTGTCAAAAATCTGATTTACAGAGACGTTTTTAAATGTTTCATTGGTGTTTTTGAGCACAAAATTTGTTTTTTTTTTGACAAGATTTTAAATTGGTACATATGTTTTAGCCCATAAACTGATTGTCAATGGTATTTTTCTATGATTTGATTTCGTTTTTTTTGAGCTCAAAATGTGATTTTTGTGGATCATTTTTAAAATTTTTTACGTAGGTTTTTGCCCATAAATAACCAGAATTACAATAGTGATTTACTTTGATTTCAATGCGTAAATTTGAGCTCAAAATTTTATTTAAATGGATCAGTTTTTGATTTGTTACGTATGATTTTGCCCAAAACTTGACTTGCAATGATGATTCTATGATTTGGTTGCATAGATTTGAGCTCATAATTTGACAAAATTTGATTCATTTCGACCGTTTTTTTAATATGTGACATAGATTTTCATCATAATTTGACTGGTAATGATGATTTTTATGATCTCATTGCCTGTTTTTGAGCTCAAAATCTGTTTGTGTTGACCATTTCCTGGATTTGTTACACAGGTTTTTGCCCATAATCTGAGTTACAAGGATGTTTTTCTATGACTTCATTTCTTTTTTTGAGCCCAAAATCTGATTCATATGGACCATTTTCTTGATTTGCTACATAGATTTTTGGCATAAAGTTTGACTTATAATAATCATTATCTATGATTTCATTGCATGTTTCTGAGCTCAAATTCTGACTTATATTGATTATTTTCCGGATTTGTTAAATGGGTTTTGCCCAAAATCTGATTTTTAAAAATGTTTCTTTTTGCTTTCACTTCAATTTTTCGAGCCTAAATTCTGATCATTGCTAACCATTTTTTGTTTTTAACAAAAGTTTTTGCCAAAAATCTGATTTACAATGACAATTTTTTAAAAATTTTCAATTGAAATTTTTGAGCTCAAATTGAATTATTTTAACCCTTTTCTTGATGGTATATAAAGTTTTTTTTGTCGATAATCTGTTTCACGAAAATGATTTTCTCTAATTTTATAACATACTTTTGAGTTCAAAATCTGATTAATGAGGATAATTTTCCTGAATTCTGCATAATCTGGCACGCGTGTTATTAATCAAAAAGTCGAGAATGGTATATTTCAATGAATTTTTAAATACGATATTTTTTTTGGTGTGTTAGCAAACATATTGATTTAAATCGATTGGAAAGTGGATTTTGTAGACAGACACCTAAATCGATCTGCTCAGGGGTATTTACAAAAACTACAAAACCGATTTCAATGGATTTTAGCAAGATTCAGATGGATTTATGTGAGATTCAGATGGATTTTAAAGAGCCAGAAAATCCATCCAAATCGATTGAAAATAGTTTGCAGACAATTAAATCGGTCCAAAATTTCCAAGAATCATCCAATTAAATCGATTTAAAATTCAAGTTAGATCTATTTAAAATCAATTTAAGTCAATCCGAAACCAATTTCGTCAGTGCTGGAAGCGTGTCCTTGAACAATAATTGTTCTGATTAAATAAATGTTTTTTGTTCTAAAAAATTGTTTTGTATTTATTGCCAATATATTTAATAACAATATATTGGCAGTAATATATTGGCTTCGCATAGATATAACGGCTTGCTTATGAGTTCCGCAACCTATGATATGAATCTCGCATATTTTTGCTGCTGGAGAAAGGAATCCGCCGTGGAATCCAAGAATGCCTTGTTGAGGAATCCGCATGCTAGGGCACAACAATTAGTTTGGCCTTCTGATGTAAACAGGCTATTTTTGTTGGTTTTCTATTGATTTTACATAGAGGTATAAAAAAATGTTTAGGTCAAAAATGCGAGACGGTACCAAGGAAGAAGGAGAAATCGTCATGAAATTCATTGAGCAGATGAAAGAAATGGGTTACAAGGCCAGCCCGGTTGTCCGTCAAAACAAAAACTCTAAATGGTACGCGGCTAAGAATGTTCTTTCCTATGATAAGTTGTTTAAGCGGCCTACTGACGTATTGTGGCATCGATTGTCATAAAATTCAGCAGCAAAAAAACCTGAAAAATAATGCGATGTTCATATTACGACGGCGACCCGATGCTTCTGTAATAATTGCATAATATGTTCCTATTTGTAAATTAATCACGTTCAATTGTAAACATAACTGGCTGACGAGTTTTGCCAAAAATAAAGAGTTTTATACTTTGTTAGTAGCAGCATACGATGAATGAATTGTTCTTTCAATCTTTTGTTGGGATTTTATTGTTTTTTCTTCTTTTTATAATCAAATTCATGGGACCAACTTAACATCTTACCCCGAAATCGAAACCCATTTATATGGAGGAAGTTAACGTGGCTCCAAAATGGAATTAGCCGACAATCAGAATTGAGTATTTTTAACGCAGTGCGAAGCAAATTTGATCCAAATTAAACTTGATATTAACTCTCATAGGCAAAGGACTCATGGGCGAAGGAGCGAAAACAAAAACAGCCGAAAGTCATTATAATAAATCATTTATTAAAAATGCATCAATTGTCGCACAACTAAGAGAATTCAAATGAAGCAAAATTCTGCTTCTTTTTTAACGAAACCCTAGAAATTTTAATATATTCCAATTCGCCGGCGGTCAGTGACAATTTAAAAGTTTTTCGTATTTTTCCGGTTTTATATTTGACCAATATTAGTATTCAATCCCTGGAAACATTAATCTTGTTTGAGATTTTCACGCTTTCTTTCCAATTTTTGGAATACTTTTATCTGATTGGCTGATGTTTATTTTCGCCCGTTCGGTCCTTCGCCATGAGGGATCCTACCCTTAACTTGGCCTTTTTGGGGGGAAGATGTTAACTTGATGTAAACCATGTGCTTCCCATTTTAGACTGGAGTGTCAGCAGGACTGCTTCTGCTGGGTACGTTTAACAATGCCGAAGTGCAACAGTGCTGAAACTGAAAATGTTTTCAAAGTACCAAAAATTGCGGAAGTTTAAAAATTTTGGGTTGTTTGCAAATTAATGGTAATTTTCTTGAAAACTGTTTTGTTTGGAGCAAAATTGAGAAGAAAATTCGCTTGGGAATTTTTTTCAACAGGCTAACTTAATTCAATTAAAATGGCAATTTATGACTTTTTATTTCTCGTCATTTTAATTAATTTACTTGTCAAAGATTTGAAATGATTCAAAAACAGTATTTAAAGCAAATTTTCAGCACTGTTGATCAACATTTTGATTTTCGGCACTGTTGTACTTTGGAACTATTGTGCTGCCCCAAAAATTTTCCGCAATTCATTAGTCATAAAAAATGATTTCTAATTAATTATTTTGTCAGTTTTGAACTTATTGCATCAAAATCTGTCGGAAGGAAAAAAATTCCGTCGAAAAACTTTATTAAAAAAATAAAATTGTTCTGAGTAAAAAAATGTCAATAGGACATATGTATTTCCTGACTTTTAAAAAAAGTTTTAGTTTTTATTCACGCATTGAAGAAAGCAATGACCATAATCTTGAAGTGTGCTTCTGAAAAAAAAATTATTTTTTTTTCATTATCAGTAAAAATTTCAAACAAAGCTAATCCTAATGCAGACTACAACAGTTTTTCTGTGTCTGTTAGTTGCTACCCGTACCTAACGGAGGCTGTTTCTCTAGCTACAAATGGAGAATATAGATTATCTAGCCATTTGCTCGTATTTTTTAACTGAGACCAATCTATTTTTTCTTAATTAAGAGTTAAACATTTTCTGCAAAAAATAACCATAAGTCAGTTGACTGCTCATTAACACCGAGATAAACATACTTCGAGTATACACTATAGTCGTTGCAGTACAATGCAAATTAACATTTGTTATATCAAGTGTTATTTTGCATTAGATTGCTAAAATTATTTGCAGCAACACCACGAGACTTTTCTTAAGCTAAAAAAAAGACTATTTTTAGCTACTTTTTTGATCAGATTTAAGATGTGAGATAAAAATATTTAGAAAAAAAACCGTTTTATTCAATAATTTCATAAAAATATTCTGACTGGAAATTTAGATTAGATATAAAGTATTTCAGGTCAGAAAAAAAAGAAATTTTTCTGGTGCGCGTATTAAGCTCATTAAAATTTAAAATTACTTTGCATTATCGATCGATCAAGGGCCTGATGACACTATTCATTGTATATCATCAATGCCTATTTAAATTAAGAATTGATGAATGAGTATTGATTAAAAAAACAAAAAGGACGTCTGTAATTTTCTGCTATAAATAGAAAACTTGAACAAAACAATATAGCGCAGATGCATTATTGAAATCAATGGAATTTTTTTCTACTTAATAGTTCAATTAATGACATAAAAGTACAATCTAAAACTGAGTAGACTTTTTGGAAAAACCAACTAAACCAGTTAATATGAATGCCCAAATATGATAAAGTTTGTTTTACAAAGCGGAGTAACGTTAAGATCAATTTTAAAAACAAAATGGTCCAGAAGACTTAACTTTGTCTTAGAATGCTGCCGTTATTACGAAACTTTCATTGTTTTTTTTTTGCCCAATCAGCTATGTAAAAGATGTTGTCATTGATGTCGTTGATCCACTGTCTCAGCATCCATTGATATTTTACAAAGCCATGACCGCATCAAAACTGGGTTTGCACTGAAAAAAAAACAATCATAAAACCAATTCATCTTGTAATTATTTTGAGTGTTTTTCTTTTCCCTTACTGTTAACTAAGGCAACACAATGGCTTACTTCCGAGCTACTAACACATGCTTGGCTTATCAAAAACGCGCAGCCATAATTGCGCTTTAACTGAAGGGTATAGTTGTCATCTTTTTCAATAATAACGCATAAAATTTTCTAAGCAGTTACAAAGCCCTAGAAGACATTTACAACTAGCTTCCACTATAATTAGCAGTCACTTTAAACTTAACTTGCAGGTCCAATGCAGCTAAAGCTGCTCCTGAAAATTGTCAATTTTCATCTTTAACAAAAAATTAGGTTGGATGAATGGATGATTAGTTGGTTGTAGGTATGGCTAAATGAATAAATGGATGGATTGAAGGCAGGATGGGTGGGTGGATACAGGGATGAAAGCATAGGCGTATGGCTAAATGGATGACTAGACGGCTGATTGGATGGATGGTTGGAGTGATGGATGATTGACTGATGGCTGCATCGAAGGTTGACTGGTTTGATTGTTGGATGACGGGTTGGATGGATGACTGAATTGGTGAGAGCATCGATGAATGCGCCAAAGGGATGGATGACACGTTGGTTGCATGACCCCGTCGATAGATGGCTAGATCGATGATCGTTGATTCGTGGGATGAATTATTAGCTAGATGGATGCATGGCTTGATGGACCAATGATGAACAGCTGCATGGATGACGGCCTGAATGTCTGAATGGTTTGCCGGAAGGATTGTCGGATAATTGATGACTGGATGAGATGGTTGGATCGCAGATTGAACGGACTAATCGACGGCTAGATGGATGGCGGGTTAATGGATGGCCGAGTGAGTAGGTGACTGGGAATATGGAGGTGGGATAAGGGGATCGATGAAAGCATGAGCGAATAGATGGCTAGATAGCTGGTTGAAAGTAGAGCTGGTTGACAAAATGAATGGCTTGAGTGATGGCTGAGTTTATGGATAACTGCTTGGATGTATGAATGGCTAGTTGGTTGAATTGGTGGTTAGATGGATGACTGGTTCGTTAGATGACTACATAGATAGGTGGCCGGATAGATGACTGGATGGCTTGATGAAAAGATGGATGACTTAATGAACGTTTGGCTGGTTAAATGGATAAAGATTGAGTTGATGCATGAATGGCAGGATAGTTGGGGAGCTGATTGGATTGATGACTAGCTAGATGGTTAGATGGACGGCTTGTTAGACAGATGCTTGGATGAAAGAATGGTTCGATATATGAAGTGATGACTTGATGAATGATTAGCTAAAGGAATGGTAGAGTGGATAGCTGGAGGATAAATGATTTGATGTCTGAATGAATGAATGGTTTGATGAATGAATGTTTTGATGAACGAATGGTTTGATGAATGGAGGGCTGATTGGAAGGATCACTGGATGGATTGATCGACGGATTGAGGTATCGTTTTATTATTGATTCCATGGATAGTTGGTTCGATAGATAAATAGTTGAATTGATGCATGGCTTGATGAAAAGATGATTGAACGGAGGGAAGGATCGAATTCTAGATGAAAATGTAGCTAGTTGGACGGATAGCTTGTTTAAAAGTTCATAAGATAGAAGCATGAAAGGCTAAATCGCTCATTAACTAGCAAATAAGATGACTGACAAGATTTGAACCGTTGTCCTTAGGGGACTGAAGTTTCTAAGATAATTTAGGAACACCCCGCCATAGAACCATTTGACAATTTTTTTAGTCTTAGTTTTCGTTTAGTTTTAAAAAGCTGGAACAAGGATACCTTTTCGGACTATAGCTGAACCTGATATCAACTCTATTCGAAATCAACTGAACTTGTCATCAGGGTCAACAAATTAAGGGTCAATAAAGGGTCAACAAATTAAAATTTTGAGAACTGTTTTTTTTTTAGTTTCATTTTTTTGAGAGTTTTGAAAAATCAAAAAAAAACATATATCAAAAAATAAAAAAAAAGTTGAGCAGTCTTATCTGAAAACCAGATATTAAGTTTTTCAAATTTACTTGACAGCACCTCATCATTTTTAAATTAGTGAGTTGAAAAAAAGACAAAGAAAACGGCATATCTCGAAAAGCATCATCATTTGGGCAGTTATATTTGAAAACCAGATTTGTGAACTCTGATAACGACTCGCCGTAGATTTGAGAACTTTAAATATCAATCAAAAAATTTCATTAAAAAATTATCAAACCATAACAAAGGCATATCTCAAAAATTTTGAGCTTTAAAGCAGTCAAATTTAGAGCCAATACTTGAAACCCATAAAACTATTGCAATTATAGAGTTAAGAAATTCAAATTTTATGAAAAATGTGAAAGCTAAATTTGTCAATAACTTTTTCACAATCATTAAAAAAGTCACATTTCGGAAACTAAAAAAGTCACGAAAGTTCCAAAAAACGGTTTAAGGTAAATTTTTCACCAGTTTAAGCAACCCGTGGCTTACCAGTGACAACACTCCAGATTAGATTTGCTATTATCAAACTTGTTGAATAAGTTGCTGAAATGGACAATGCTAATTACAAAATGAATCCAGCCTCCTTACATTACATCTCTTCTCTCCTTAAACGCTGGTATCACGGATACAATTTTAAAATTGGGCCTTGCAATCAAACTGGCATTCATAATTTTGAAGAAAAAAAAAAGCA